CACGTGATCTTTTATTTTTTTTTGATGACGTCATACCTGGTCACGTGATCTTTTTATTTTTTTGATGACGTCATACCTGGTCACGTGATCTTTTATTTTTTTTTGATGACGTCATACCTGGTCACGTGATCTTTTATTTTTTTTGATGACGTCATACCTGGTCACGTGATCTTTTATTTTTTTTGATGACGTCATACCTGGTCACGTGATCTTTTATTTTTTTGATGACGTCATAGCTGGTCACGTGATCTTTTTATTTTTTTGATGACGTCATACCTGGTCACGTGATCTTTTATTTTTTTTGATGACGTCATACCTGGTCACGTGATCTTTTATTTTTTTTTTGATGACGTCAACCTGGTCACGTGATCTTTTATTTTTTTGATGACGTCATAGCTGGTCACGTGATCTTTTTATTTTTTTGATGACGTCATACCTGGTCACGTGATTTTTTTGTGGGGTCACATGGCCGGAAGTGACGTCACAATAAATATCCCGGGAAAAATTGCATGAATCCAGTGTAATACTGTATTCCAGGAAATTTATTATCAACTGGTGCCAATCTCTTGAACTCAGCGGACCAATGCCTTCAATCGACTGAATCTGCATCAAACACATGTAGCCCATCAATTACCAGCAATCTGAACAACGGTATCTATCCAGCCGAGAGCAGTGCAAGTATGCTGAGCTGTCTCCTACCGAATTTACCCTCGTTGCCACCACTATCAGCCTCCCACGAAGTTTTCAGACACAGTGAAATCCTCCGTGCTGGAATCGCCTACCACGACACCACCAAACAATCCCGACACTCTCAACGAACAGACGTCACGTGAATCCCCAAAATGTCCACGTCTTCATCCCACAGGATCACTGTTTAATTATATGATTATGAGATTATGAACATTTTTGTAGTTATAGGTTTTCATGTGCAATTGCAAGTTGAAATAAATGATATGAAGCATCTTTAGTACTTGGACTTAATTTTATTATAATCTGAAAACAGGAAATGATATCATGTGGTCAACAATATCTTTCCAATTCCAATGGGCTCCTTTAATCCCTCACAACTTTTTTTTTTAGTCGTTTGGATATTCAGTATACTCTGTTCTTATTCTTTTTTCTTCTGTTCAATTATCATTTGTATTCTGCATCACCTTTATTACACAGATTAATGAAAGACAAACGCAGTAAGACAATGAAAATCAACGAACAAATGATACAAAAAAAAGAAAATCGTCTTGATTCTTTAGTTATCGTAACCTTTATACACTAATACGTAGACATTGTTCAATTAATTCGTCAATTCTTCATTATTTTGAGTTCAACATTCAATGTTGGAGGGGAGGGGGAGTGAAAAATTGACGATTATTTTACGTTTATTACACACAGATTTATTCCTGTACGAATATCTGTGCCGCAAATCACAATTCACTCATTTCTTTCTAGCTTTGCATTTGCATTTTTGCATCAGTTTAATCTGTACTTATTTATTCCTACAAAACATACCCATTCGCACGTTTATGAGATGAGACTGATGTTTTATGTCGGGAGCCATTGCACCTTCAAGTACTTGTATTATTCACTGGAGGACAAGCAATTAATCTCCACTACAGGGTAAACAAATTTTGGTCACGAAAACAATTTCACTGAGAAAATTGAGGAAGCAGCACTTTTGTTTTTTTGTCACTTTTCCAAAGTCTTTCTTTTTTGTATAAAATTTGAAATCGATGAGAAAAATGGCCTCTGCTCCCCCCTCATCCTAAAAATCAATGATGATCTTAAATCTAATGATCTCCGACGATAGAACGCTAGATTGCGTATTTGATTGTCCTATTAGGCGTCTAATGGGTTCTCCTTAGATCTCGTATTATTTAGAATTTCATTTCGTTTATCGTTTTTTAATTTTCTTCGAATAATGGGGATTTACAGATCGAGATGAGGAGCTGTAATTAGCTAATCAAAATCTTTTTATCGACCAAAGCATCCACGAGAGCATGATTACTCCACAAGTTGAGGAGAATAAAAAATATTAGCCATTTTAAATGATTACTGAATATCAAGCATAATAAAAATGTAATTCAAGTCAAATAATTCACTGGTCCTCTCAACTGTGAGCTATTCAATTGAATTTCCAATATTATCGTTCCAACATCATCAAAAGGTGACTAGTTATCAACGAATAGAATCTCCTCAGCTCTCACAATAATTTTCTAATCTCCATAAAAAGCCATTTTCTCTGAAATTCTCCTTAGGGTATTGAATACAATAATGCAAATAGTAAGAAGTCGTTTAGACGTACGTAGACACATTTTTTTTTTTTTCAATTTTCGTGTTAAAGTTCCTGTACACATACATTTGTTCCCGCTGTATATAATTGAACACACCTAAAAACGTAAAACTGTACACACGAGAGAGTATCTTGCTATTCGCTTAATTCAAGTTATTTATTCGTTTTTTTTTTTTTCAATTTTTACCTATTGTGATTTTTACACATCTACGCATACGATATACCGTATGAATCCATTATATTTTCATTCTATTCTTTCTATTCAATCACTGCCATGTTAAACTCGTTAATCATTACTGATTCCTTATACTTTTTTTACACATAATTTTGTTTCTCCATCGCACATTGCCGTTTTGTTTATTCCAGTATTTCTATCTTGATTTTTGATATTTTGTTTTTCATTGTAAACACGACTCTTACGTCTAATCGTAATCTTATAATTAAATATAACTTCGCTACATGTATTATTCACTTCTTTCATTTTTTTTTTCATTTATCAACTAGAATGAGATGAGTTGTCACATGGGGAAATAAATGATGATAATTCAGCAACTATTCGAGAATTCCTCGTTAATCCCTCATTTTTCATTAAATTAAACTAGAATTACTTTATGTCAGTCAATTTCGAATGATCTATTACTTCGAAATAGCGGTTATTGTATCGAATATTCCTCAAACCATCTGCAATTCAATCGAATGAGGACGGATATACCAATAATCACCCCAAAAAAATCAAATCCCAGATGATATCCAATCTCTAAGTCACATTTATCCCTCATTATTCAATTGGCCCTCGACGAAATTCACCATGATTTTAATTAAACGTAACATTTTTTCAGTCTTGTCACGCTGTCTTTCGACATCACTTAAATTCCCACAATTGTTCCTAGTTGCGACGTGCAGTTTTAATTAAAAAAAAAAAAATAAGAAAAAAAAAGTAAACAAATGCATCGAGACACATAAGTAACACAAAGTCATGCAAATAATTTAAATCGACTCGCAGACTTTTTATTGAACGACAAAACAAAGAGATTAATTCCCTATTAAACCGAGCATGTGGCAGGCAGTGACTGTGATTGCATAATTCATAATTATCAACATAGAAGAATAATTGACAATGAATGTTAATAAATTTATAACCAAAAGAGAAAAAAAAA